CTAATTTTCATTATAGAATATATATTCTTTTTTGCAAATATATATTTATAAATAACAGGAGACAAATGCGCAGAACTGGTAAAACTTATTTATGCCTTATCTCCTCAACTTCTCTTTACCCTGTCTCAAGTTCTTTTTGGGTGGTAAGTACAAAGAGATACTATGCTAGTGGGAAGATACGTGCATATAATTATGATCCTTTGTCATGGTGCTATAATGAGGGTATACAAGGTATACAAGTATCCCAGGAATGGTGAGGAAAAGGAGGAATTATGCCTGTAAAGACATGCAATTACGTCTGCACAGGCTTCTGAGGGATAAGATTAACTGACAGGGAAGAGGGTGAAGGGGATTCTAGGCAAAGGAAATAACATGGACAATGTGCCTTTTTCAATAATGTTAAGTAGGACACAAGGTACACGGGAAGGAATAGTTAAGAGGCTGGGACCAAGAGGTAAAAGGTTTTGTGAGTGATGCTGAACCTGATCTTTATCTTACGGGCCAGTTATTTTCACATTATACCTTATAAACAGCCTGATTAGTTTGAAAAACACAACTGAGGTGTGAAGGGTCCATCCATTCATTTATTAATTCTTTCACTAAGTATTGAGAGCCTAATATTTGCACGTACTATTTTTTAACAGTAACCAAAAGAGATGATTATCTCTGATGATGTCGTAGAGCTCGCTTTTTTTTTTTTTTTTTGAGACAGAGTCTCACTCTGTCACCATGGCTAGAGTGCAGTGATGTCATCGTAGCTTACTGCAACCTCAAACTCCTAGGCTCAAGCGATCCTCCTGCCTCCGCCTACCAAATAGCTGGGACTATAGGCACAAGCCACTGTGCTCAGGTAATTTTTCTATTTTTAGTAGAGATGGAGTCTTGTTCTTGCTCAGGCTGGTCTTGAACTCCTGAGCTCTAGTGATCCTCTCGCCTCAGCCTCCCAGAGTGCTAGGATTACAGGCATGAGTCACCACACCTGGCCCATAGAGCGTATATGTTAGCAGGGAGAGACAGATGAAATAAATAAGCAAATATTAAATAGGTTACAAGGTGAAGTGCAAGCACTATGGAGATAAAGGAAAAGCAGGTAAAGGGCAAGGGGAGGTTTATTCACCAAAAAGTTAATATGTGACCAAAGACTTGAGAGGTTCTAGGGAAAAAACCATGCAGGTATTTGAGGAAAGAGCATTCTAGGCAAAGGTATGTATTTATATAAGCAAGTGCCATTAATATAAGCACTTTTAAAAGTGCTAACAAGTCTAGAATGAGAGTTGAAAGTTTAGAAGATGTAGCAAACAGACAGTTAAGACCATTTAGGAACTATTGCAATTGCTCAGAAAAACGCTGTGTTTCTGTTTTTACATGGAATAATTTAGGCACAATAAGATGACCCTCTCTCTCCTCTTGGCTATGAAGTCAGATACTGTGCCATATCTTCAGAAAAAGCAGTTTCAACAATTGCTTTCTCAAAGATCTCTCTTCTCTCAAAATATTCCAAAGAAAGCAATTATTTTCATTGAAGGAGGAAATTAAGTGCAAAGAAGCAACTCTCTGTTGTCAAAATACAAGTAGGTTGTACGAAATGAGCCCAATGACAACGTATTTTGTAGTTTCCCATATCTAGATGAAAAGAAAACAGACTTTTCATTTCTAATTTTTTTAATTTCACTTTAAATTAGAATGCAAAGAGTGCCATCTCAGAAAGTAGTTCTGTCTTCCCATTCCATTTTTTGCACACTTCTTTCTCTGCCCTAATCAATGTTATTAAACAAAAGTAATAGTACTGCTTACCAGTCTGATATTCTCACCATTGGTAGGAATATAAATTGGTTAATTTTTCTGAAGGACAACATAGTATGAATCAAAGCTTTAAAAATGTTCATGCCCTTTGAGCTAGAAATTCTATGTCTAAGAATTGTTTCTAAAGAAATAAAAGTGATTGTTACCAACCATGAGAATTTAAAAAAAGTGAATGTATTTTAAAATTTAGTTAAATCATTGAAGAAGTATTTATAATAGTGAAAAAGAAACCAGAACAAACGTAAATGTATGACAATAGGGACTGGTAAAATAATTAACAGAAAATTCTATTCTGTGAATACTCAACACTCACAGCAGCAATCAACATAACTACCTGTTGGCAGACTTGGTCAAGTCTGGCTCCTTTTTTTTTGCGCAACTTCTAAATGTTGCGTCATCTGATGCTGTGTCCCAGTTCTTGGTCCCTTTCTCTTCTTACATCTAATGCTATAGCTGTAAGGGGCATCTATATGCTATAAACTACCCTATGTCTACCTCCAGCTCTGCCTGGAATTAGCTGAGTAACTAAATGACTACTTAACATGGTTCACTAACAACTCAAATTTAAACTCCAAAATAGAACTCTTGATCTCTCCTTTCTCCCAAGCCTTCTATTTCAGTAAATCCTATTTCCTTCCAGCCAGTTTTCTCTTATCTCCCAACATCCTGACCATTAAGAGAACCTATTGATTTCCAAAATATACCCCTTTACTGCTACCCTTGGCTAAGCTACTGTTATTTCTCATCTGATCTCATTGTACTTCTGACCCCCTCTAATCAATTCACCCAAAACAAACCAGACTTTCTTTCTTGCTTAAAACCTTCTAGGAGTTTTGCAAAGTCCAAACTTCTAATCGTGGCCTATAATGTTCTATATACCTGGCCCCTGCCTCCCTCTTCAACTTAATCTCTTAATCTCACAAATTTCCTCAACCATACAGGCTTTCCTCCAGTTACTTCAACATGCCAAGCCACTTCCTACCTTCAGGCTCTTTTACTCTGTCTGCAATGATCTTGATTTAAGCTGACTCCTTATTTGCATCTCTGCTTAAATGTTACCTCTTCAGCTTTCCCTGACTATCCAATCTAAAACAGACACCATCATATCATCAAATTTTAAGTCTCTGCATGATATGCCATTATCTGATATACATTTACTTATGTGTTTTATATTTACTCATGTTATTTTAGTCTGTATTTCTATCCTAGCATGTAAGCTCCATGAGCACAAAGGCCTTGACTTATTCACTGGTATGTCCACAAAACCTGGCATAAAATCGGGAGTCTATAAATATTTTTGAATGAATAATGTATGAATATTGTATAACCATTAAAAATATGCAACAGAAAAATAGTGATTTAGAAAGAAGTTTATGGTATAGTAAATGAAAAAAGCAGAAAATGCATATATGTGTACAAAACAGTACAGAAAAGCTCACAAAATGCTGGTAGGGCTAGCATTGGGTAACAAAAATTATGAGTGATTTTTAGTTTTATTCCTTTTGTTTACCTGTATCATCAGAATTTATTACAATGAAGTCTTTTATATGAATCAAAAAACAAAACACAGAAAGTTTATTTATTTAAAAAAAATTAATGCTTACCTTCAAAAAAGGAATAACTTCTTTCATAATTGCTTTAATTTGCCGGTCCAGCTGCTGAGTATCAATTCTAGGACATGGGACAGTAGAAACTTCACTTATAGGTGGTTGTGAACTATGATTTTCAATAACAGGAGTTTCTATTTTGAAAAGAAAATGATACATTAGCAAAAACAAAGTCTATGACATTATACATATGCCCTTATGCAAAGTTTTAACTACTAAATTCTGATGATTTTATGCTAAAATAATTCACAGAAACATTTAAGTAGTTTTATTACCCTTAACAATTAAAAGAAAGCAGTAATAAAACTACTGTTATATATCAGGTAGGGTTTTTAATTTTTTATATGGAATTATGATTATTACTTCTAATCAATAAAGCACACACCTTCTAAATTATTAACTGTAGTGGCAGTAGCACCATCTTCATCCTCAATAATCTTGCAGGTGCATCTCATATTTGAGTTACTTTCAGCTTCAGTTTTCATACGCTCATATTCTCGCATTCTGGCTAATGCTTGATCTAAGTGAATCACAGTGTTACCTGCATTCAGAACAAAAGTATTTTAGAATATGTGAAGCAGACTTTTTCATGTATTCCTCAAAACGTATTAATAAAAAAATAATGTCACAACGTAAGGAAGGAAACTTTGCTTTGACAAGTTCCAGATACTATACTAGTTGGGCATTTCACATACATTATCATATGTATATATTTCTCACAAGAACACAGCTAGGTAGATAACGTCCCCATTTCTGTAGCATATGCAGAGTCAGAAAGGTTAGATGGTTGGGCCACAGTAAAAGAGTTAACAGAATATTCTTGAATTTAGACTTATAGACACTTAAGTCCATGTTCTTCCAACCACATCTTGCCTTTTTAGACTTTTGTTTCCTTATCAATGCAATTCAAAGACCGTATTGGATCAACTTAAAGTCATGTTTCAAGGTTATACAAAATTCTGCTTACCTAGATCGTCTGTTGCAAAAGGCTCGAAATTTGAAGATACAGACATGACACTAGTGTTATCAGCATCATTTTGTTCACTTATTTTATTTGTTTCTCTTTCAAAGTTCTTCTCAAAAGTTTCCTAAGTCATAGTAAAATAAACAAACAAAAATCACTAATATTTCTTTTGAAAATTTTATAATAAATATTAAGGATCTACCAGGGAAACTAAGTATTTGCATAAAACTATACACCTAAAAGAGATATTCATAAGTTACACATGTATTCCATCCAAACAAGATTATGATATAACCAAAGTCATTAAAGGTTGAATACAGAGTCACAGAGAACACAAAAATATTAAGTAGACTTGCAGAACAAATGTAGTTTAAAATACACAGAGCCAGCTAATGATGAAATTCTAAATTGGCAAAGTTAACATTTTAAGTTATTTCTATACCCTCATGGACATTCTGCTATCTCCAAATCCTAATAATAATGTCTAGTACCTTAGTATATATACCTGGTTGTCTCATATCAGAACAAAAACATGACATCATTCATATTTTTTTAAAAATTAACTTTATTGAAATATAATTTATATACAATGCACCCATATTAAATGTACAATTTGATGAGTTTTGACAAATGTGTACACTCATGTAACCAGCTTCCCTAAAGATAAAGACCATTTCCATCAGCTCAGGAAGTTTTTCACAACCCTCTACAGTCAAGCTCAACCACACCCCACTCATGATTTCTATCACTGTAGATCAGTTTTGCTGATTCTAGAACTTCATATAAATGGAACCATACGGTATATGTTCTTCAGTGTCTGGCTTCTTTTGCTCAGTACTGTTTCTGAAATTAATCCATATTGTTGTGTGCTTCAGAAGTTCGTTATTTTTAATGGCTGAATAGTATTCCATTGTATGGATATACCACAGTTTATCCATTTATCTGTTGATGTTCCAGTTTGAAGCTATCATGACTAAAGACGCTATGAACATTAGTGTACAAGTATTTTTGTGCACATATGTTTTCATTTCTCTTGGATGAATACCTAGAAGAGAAATTGCTGGGTCACACGCCAAGTTTATGCTTAACTTTATAAGAAACTGCCAAACTGCTTTCCAAAGTGGTTGTGCAATTTTACATTCCCACAGTAGTGTGAGAGTTCTAATTGTTCCACATTCTCACCAACACTTCTTACTGTCAATCTTTTTAACCATTTTAGCCATTCTCATGGGTGTAAGCTGGTATTTTGTACGGTTGTAATTTGCATACTAACCACTCATACATCTTGTTTCATGAAGTGCCTGTTCAAATCACTTGTCCATTCTTTACTGAGTTGTTTGTCTTATACTTGAATTGTAAGAGTTCTTTATGTAATCCAGATAACAAGATATTTGTCAGATATATGTACTGGGATTATGTTCTCTTAGTAATATCTTTTGAAAAGCAGAAAGTTCTTACTTTCGTGAAGTCTTATGTATTAATTTTTTTCTTTTATATTTAGTGCTTTCTGTATCCTAGAAAATCTTTGCCTATGTCAAGGTAATGAACATTCCCTTCCATTTTCTTTTAGAAGTTTTCTAGTCTTAGCTTTTATAGAACTTTAAGTCATTTCAAACTAATTTTGTGTATAGTGTGACAGGGAATAGGGGGAAGTCTCACATTTTGATTGAAACATTTCACAACTATTTCTTTCCCCTAGCTATTGATCTTTTTAAGTATTCTATCTTCAATTATGAAATAAAAGATTTGACCCTGATTAAAGGAAACTCAGACATTAGGTAACACATTTTAAGAAATAGGCAAACCATTTTGTTGCTCCTTCAAGTAAGATTTGAATATGTGCTTTTACCATTTTATCACATCTAAAGTAGAAGATGCAAAGTGGTTTTTTTCTTCTTCCTAAACTTCAGTTCCTCCACTCCATCCTCAACTTGTAATTCCCAGATGCCCATTCTCACTTTCATTTCTCTCTTCCCTGGGCAAGACTCTTACATACCTTGAAATGTGTATATAAAAGATCCATAAATTCAGTTCAAAGGACTTTGCCCTACAAGCACAAAAATTAGACTCTAGATCTATCCAATATGGTAACCACTAACCATATAGCTATTTAAATTAAATAAAATTTAAAATTCAGTTCCTTAGTCACAATAGCTACATTTCACATGTTTGTGAGCCACGTGTGGCTAATAATGGCTACTGTATTAGACGGTGCAGACACAAAATATTTCTAGCACTGTAGAAAGTTCTATTGCACAGTGCTGCTCTAGATCTATGGGTATAAACACTGCACGTTGTGCTGCTGCTGCTGATTAAATGGCATTAGTAAAGGGAAGATGGTGACATTAATGCTGAATTTAAGTTTTAGAAGAAAAATTAAAGAAATGATTTACTTATTAAAAGTAATACTATGTAAAATTATTTATCTCAAGTCCTTAATTATCCAGTATTATAGCATCTTTAAATTTCATTTAACTTTAAAACCTTCTCAGGTTAACTTTATCCTAAATTGTACCTCACTATTCAAAATGTGCTACTGATGGTACAGACCAATGTGCTCAAATCTTTTAAAATCGAAGTATTGCTGCCTATGTGAAACTTGGATAAAAGGGAAAGCAATGGAGTTAAGATTATAAATAACTGAAAAATATGTCGGAGAATGGAGACTGTTCATTTTCTTCCAAGTTAATTCACTGCCCAATAAATCTTATATTAATATAACCTAACATCTACTTTTTATGTATTCAGCTGGACCACATTTCCCACAAAAATTAGTATACAATTTTTAATTAGTTATAATAACAATCCAAAGGGACAAGTACATATATTAATTTATATAGGACACTGTAAAGTCAATTAAAACTATGTAGTTTTTAGACATGGGTTTATGACCATAGTAGTACAGGAATTAAAACCTAGTGGGAAAACATTTTCAGCAGAAAATATGGGGAAATACTGCTTTAAACATGAGTATAAACTAAAGAGCAAAAATTCAGAAAGTCTTGAGTAGTCATAAGGAAATTACTGTATCTGAAAGAGACAAGATCATCTTTTGAGAAAACACTGTTGTTTCAGAAAAACTTACTGTGTTAACATTCCAACAATGGGCAGAAACACAGTAATATGCTTCCAACTCTCTACCTATAGCAGGTATTTACTAATCAATATACTTTTACCCATCAATCTCCAGGTATAAGAGTTGTCATAAAAAAAGAATGCATTTGCTATCCCAGAACCATATACAATGTTTTATAATAAATTCAAGATCTTAACCTTTAAAAAGGTGATTTCCAAATCTTTAGCACATTATCCTCTCAGTATGCTAGCAGTTTTGTCATTCATTTAATTGACTATGTGACAGGTACTATTTGGAGGGCAAAGTTTACTGACTTTACCATTCTCCTCACCACTCTTCTCCATTTCCAGGTCCTTTATACTCCATTCAAAATTTTCTCCATCAATTAGAATACATTAAAGTACTTTTTTTCCCTACATGAATTTCTTTGATCTAGGCTTTCTTTTTACCCAAAGACTTGATTTATCTTGTATTTATTTATTCAAGGGTTCTTACTGTAATATGATTGCTGTGTGTTTATTAAATGTCTTGAATAAACATGTTTATTAAAACTATGTTAAGAATTAGCCCCTATGTTGGGCAATGAAAATGTGACTATTTTAGATCTCATAATCTATCATTTATACATTATTTTTGGTGTCTGCTCCCATATTTTGATTGCATTTATACCTCACCCTCAAAATAAAGTAATATATTGTGCCCAGCTTTTTTAAAAAAACTAAAAATCAAATATATTAGGTATACTCACAATTTGACAATAACCTATTTAACTTTTGTTTACTGCGTACTGAAATTATGCCTACATTTCACTAATCATTATCAGCTTACATCATCAGTAGTAGCAAGGCTCTCACTGGGAGTAAGTTCTGAGTTTGATGCTATCCAAGTACCAGAGTTCACTGACTTTACATTTTCTCCTTCTTTGTCATGGCTCTCAGAAATATGTCTGGATACTATGTCCTAAATAAGGAAATAAGATAGTTATTTATACAAAACATATAAGGCTTAATCACAAATTTTTTTTTTTTTTTTTTGGAGACAGAGTTTTGCTCTGTTGCCCGGGCTAGAGTGCCACGGCATCATCCTAGCACACAGCAACCTCAAACTCCTAGGCTCAAGAAATCCTTCTGCCTCAGCCTCCCCAGTAGCTGGGACTATAGGCATGCGCCACCATGCCCGGCTAATTTTTTCTATATATTTTTAGTTGTCCGATTAATTTCTTTCTATTTTTAGTAGAGACGGGGTCTCGCTCTTGCTCAGGCTGGTCTCGAACTCCTGAGCTCAAACAATCTGCCCGCCTCGGCCTCCCAGAGTGCTAGGATTACAGGCGTGAGCCACCATGCCCGGCCCTTAATCACAAATTGATGGTACAAATTTAAAAGCAGAAGAAGATAGAAAAACAAATACAATATTTCTCACTCATAGGTTGAATGTGAGGAAGAAATAACATTAAAGATAAAACATTGAAAATTACACAAAAGGAGACTTTATCTAAAGCTTCTTAAGCTATACATGAAGTTTTAAATAAAATGTCAGGAAAGCACAAAGAAAATAGATCAAAATGCATATAAAACACGGACATGCTTCAGTTTAAGAAAGTAAACAGGTATAATTCATGAAGAAGGTGGCAACAAATAAGGGTAGAAAAAAGAATATTAGGTACCAGATACCTGTAATGCATATAAAGCCCTCTGTCTCAAGTAGTCTGTATTAAGTAGCTGAAGCTCATGGAAGAGTTCAATAAGAAAATGTGGACGAGATTCATTTTGAGAAATTAATGTAGCTACTTCAGAATAAATAGTATCCCGCAAAGCTTCGAACATGGAAAAATCACTCCCAGTTTCTGGAACATATTAAAACACAGCACATTAATACTGATGAAATACCTTCATGACAATTTCTATTAGCTTGTATCATTACTCTCAGCTTTAAATTACTTAAAAATCAGAACACAATTCTATTTCAGGGCTTTTAAAGTAGAAAAAGAAGCTTAAAGTTAC